AGCGGGCGCGGGGCGCGGCGGGGACGCGTTGCTGACCAGGCAGGGCGGCGGCGGCACCACCGAACTCTTCTTGGAGTTGTACACGCTGGGCTCCTCCTCGGCGGAGCCCGCCGGCCACTGCGGCTGCCCGCAGAGGCTCTTCTGGATCTTCTTGATGCCCAGGTGGGCGATTTCGAGGATGTTGAGGAAGAGGGAGACGGCGGCGATGCTGTTCATGAAAACCATAAAGATGGTCTTCTCTGTGGGTCGGGACACAAAACAATCCACCGTGTTAGGGCAAGGGGGCCGAGTGCATTTGTAAAGGGGGGACATGTGAAACCCGTATAAAAGATACTGACCTATCATAAAGCCCACTTCGACCACTGACCGGGTCAGGATATGTAGGACATAGGTGCGCAGCAGGGACCCTCTCAGGGGTGCCTTATTCACTTTCTTCTGCTCCTCCAGCTTACGCAGTTCTCTCTCCACTCTCCTGTGTTCCTCGAGCATGGGCTCCAGGTCCTCGAGCTGAGCCCGSAGGAGAGCTTTCCTGTTCTGTCGCTCCTTCTCGAGCGCCCTTAACCTGTAGAGCGCGTGGCCCATGTACACCAAGGACGGGGAGGAGACAAATATGATCTGCAGCACCCAGTATCTGATCAAAGAGATGGGGAAGGCTTTGTCGTAACAGATATTGTTGCAGCCGGGTTGCTCTGTGTTGCAGATGAACTCGGACTGCTCATCATCCCAGACATCTTCAGCAGCCACTCCCAGCACCAGCATTCGGAATATGAACAGGATTGTRAGCCAGATTTTGCCAACTATGGTAGAGTGGATGTGCACTTCTTCAAGGATGCTGCCCAGCAAGTTCCAGTCCCCCATGGTCAGAAGTTCATTTCTGGAAAAAAAAAAAAAAAAAAAGTTATTTTCATAGAAATGAAATTCCAAAGAATTTCCAAAAAGAAATTCCCCGCTCCTTCCGTCCCACTAACGTCACTGAAACGAGACACATGAGGAAAACAAAAAGTCAGCAATAATGATTGTAGTCCAATGCAACAGTTAAGCAAAGGACCTTTAGGTATATTCACTGCCTTCCAAATGACTGATGCCTCATGGAAATTGATAGACTCAGCAAAAAAACCCCAACCAAACAACAAAACTGTGAGGGTGATGCTACAATGTRAATGTAGGAATAAAAGGGAAGAGGAGATACGTTTTAATCCCAAWGATGACATGCTAGCATTCCACTAGCAGCAGGAAATGTCATTGTCTGTTCTGGACAGAAAGTGGGTGTAACTATTTGGGGCAAGAGAGGTGTATAAACATACCACTCTGRCTCTACAGAGTTTTGTTTCCTAAGTTCTTTCTAGCAGTATTTAAGTAAATATATCCTCACCTTTGCATTATAAAAGCCAACMGAGGAGAGTAATGTATTTGTAGGAGTGTTATAATTAACCCTCCAAGTGAGCCTTTGATACCAGGACACTTCCCTCAGCTCTGCACTGGTAGAAATACAGCGTAAATATTGACACAGTCAATGTTGTGTGTAAAATAAAGAAGTTAGTTCAGAGCCACAAAAGCCAAAGCTTCTAAGAAATCAGCCCAAACTACTTCGTAACCCTGTCATAGCAATGTGCTTCTAATGTTTCCATTTTTCTCCTTTTCCTGATCTTAATTGAATTCTGTGTAACGGAATAATTTCAGTTTATGGTAAGAGCGTAATCTCAAATATCAATGATATAATTATTWTCAATTTGCTAGCAGACTAGAAATTCTAGTAGTACAGCCTATTCTATACCACTAGCATTGTAGACTAGAAATACACTGCTTTTAGAATAGAAAGTACATACCTGAGACAYTTCTCATTATACTGACTACCTCTGCATCTGCCTAAAAGTAACCAAATATTTTCATWTGATTATTTCAAACAATAAAAACTCATGCATATAATCAGTTAAAACCAGATGGAAATCCACCATTTCCCTTGGAGAAAGGTTATTTTTTGATTTTGTTACTTCTGCAAAATTCATCTGGTCATTTGTCACTATTAAAATCACTTCTATATTATATTTATGCCAGGTTTTCATCAGCTGAGGTATGAAAAAGCAGCATTAAACTTTAAATTTGTTGTCAGAGGAAGTTAAATGCTAAGATGCAAATACTCATGGGTTTAACTTGCATTACTTCAAGTTGGACAGGRACTTGCCTGCTCCATACTGCCCTAGGAGGAATTATATTTCTTCCACTTACCTTAGGAGAAAGCCCTTGGTTAGTTTCTTACAGCATTGCAGAAGGAGCATGCAGCACTGCTTCTTGTTATTTCTCAGAGGCCTTTCTTCGATAGTGCTAGGACATCTYGGGTTTTTTTTCTTTTTTTTCTTTTCCCCAAGAGCCAAAGCATAGACGTGGTACACTGAATGGGCTTCACAATTCTATGTAGCTGGATGCCAAGATCACTCTGTCTAAATTCATGCACAGTTTGAAAATAATCAGATGATAGGATGGTGCCTCTAGCCAAAATTATCATGCAATTATTTTAGTCAGTGGCATCTAACGAAGCCATTCCCCCAAGGCTCAATCCATACGGCGGCAGTTTGTAAAGTACCTACGCCTTGTTTTACTCAGTTCTTCAAACATCATGCCTCCACCCAGCTCCCAAATGAAATTTTATTTTGTAAAATGGCTAAATAGATAGCCTTTAGAGTACCATAGAGACTTACATTTTCTTTACATTCCATTAGTTTCGCTTTGAATCAATGCCCGAGGATCGATCGGTCATGTCCGATTTCATACTCTGTTGCCTGGTGAGTTAATTTAGGATGTGTTAGACTGAGCCTTTAAAATGGAAGCCACAGGACTGRGACTCGAGTCTTGAGTTAGAAACACAGGCTTTCAGAACAGTAACCCTTCATCAGCTGGGGTGAAGAGCCACCCCCAAGCCCATTCAGAACAGGTATCTGTGAAGACAAGATTTAAAATAGGAAGGCAAGCTGTCAAAATGGGATTTTGTGAGAAATCAGAGCCACCGGAGCTGAGTTGCTGATACTAAGACCTTCTATTGCCTAGTCCTGCTGTGTCCAAGGTCTAATTTTTATGGAAATTCCAAATACTCCTATTTCCCTTTCTTCTTGTGGGACTTCTGGTCCTTCCATTTTACAAGGCATATGAATGATTTCTGTTTCAGACTCTTCTCCCTAAAGATTTTTCCACTAACCACTGGCCCATTCTCAAAAGACAGTAGCCCTACCTCTTTGGAATTATCTCTAATCTGAACCACCCAGACCCCCACAGGTCTTTCTCATCCATATACTCTCATGTACCTGTCATTGGGATTTTTTCATGTCTCTTCTTTCCAAATCTGGTCACCAAGTCCCTAAGGCTTTTCCTTGCTGCTTCAGCTGTCTCGGACCTTTGACTCAGGCCTGGTGCTTTGTGCTGCTGAACCAAATGCTGTTGACCCAACATCTCCAGCAGCTTCCACAGTGCCCGGGYGTTTCTCAGGAGCACCCTCGTTACCTGTGCTGGCTGTGAAAACTGAGMAAAAGGCAAGAGCTGCAGCACCTGTGACATGTCCATGCTGTCAGAGTGGTGGTGGAGTCCCTTGCATTTGGAGATAACAAGAATCTGTGGTGGCTCAGGACACTCCCTTGCTACAAGCACCTTCCATAGACAGAATCAGCTTACAGTGTGAATGACAGCAGGCTGTGGGTGTGGATTTGTTGGGAGGGAATGTATCCTGCAGAGCAGAGATGGGACCTTGGCCAGTGGTGACTGGAATAGGCAACTGCGAGAAGCAGCACACTGGGAACCAGCACATCTTCATGCCTGACYTTCCTGGAGCAGGAGTGACCTCCCTGCTGGGGAGCAGAGACCCAAGGAACACAGTGCTGTGGCAGGAGCTGATTACAGCCAAGGAAGGTGAGAGGTCTAGTCCTGGGAGTAATCCAGTAACCAAATCCAGTATGGGGCATTTACTCTGTCTTGTGTGTGACAGCAGGATTCTGCTCCTGGGATGGGGCAGCCCTGGATGCATGGACAGTCTGGGGACTGAGGGGCTGGAGAGCAGTGCAACAGAAAGAGATCTGGTGGTCAGTGGCAAGCTGACCATGAGCCAGCTGTGCCCTGGCAGCCAGGAGGGCCAACCCTGTCCTGGGGGCATCAGGCACAGCATCACAGCCGGGCAAGGGAGGGGATTGTCCCACTCTGCTCTGACCTGGGGCGGCCTCACCTCGAGTGCTGGGGACAGCTCTGGGTAGCACAGTGTAAGATATTRAACTGTTAGAGAGTGTCCAAAGGAGGGCAACAAGGATGGTGAAGGGCCTTGAGGGGAGGCTGTGAGGGGCACCTGGGGGCACTTGGTTTGCTCAGCCTRGAGGAGACTGAGGGGASACCTCACTGCAGTTACAAGTTCCTCATGAGRGGAAGAGGAGGGGCARGTGCTGATCTCTTCTCTATGCTACCCAGTGAGGGTACCCAGTGAGGATCCAAGGAAATGGCCTGAAGATGCGACAGGGGAGGTTTAGGTTCGATATTGGCAAAAGGTTCTTTGCTCAGAAAGTGGTTTAGCACTAGAACAGGCTTCCCAAGGAAGTGGTCACAGCAGCAAACCTGACAGAGTTCAAGAAGTGTTTGGACAATGCWCTCAGGCAAATGATGGGATTCTTGGAGCTGTCCTGTGCAGGGCCAGGAGCTGGATCCCTCTAGGTCCCTTYCAACTCAGGATATTCTATGACTCTAAATTTTAAGGGGTAACTAGTACAAAATAAGTTCTTCAAATATTAGGTACAAATACACATTTTATAGCAGTGCAGCTTTTGAAAATCGCCAGGAATTCACACATTTWAAAAAAAGGATAGATGTGGAAACTAATAGTAACCTTATGACAGACACTATCATCAGCTTGTACTAATAGTTTACTATTCTAACATCACAAGAAGCTAGTGCACGTGCTTTCTGCTGTCTCACTAAACCCATCACAAAACCCTGAAGCCAATGGATGTAGAACAGCAAGCTGGATGACAGGCTGCAGTCCCAGCAGCTCAGATAATGAAATGCCAAGATGAGACTACAAAATTTTAGCTTGAACCTGAATCACTAGCCTTGCACAGTGTAACCTCACTGTCTAAAAGTAACCCCTTGGCTTATTAAAAAAAGTTACTTCACTTGAACTTGCTTGTTTTTCCATTTTACTACAGATGAACAGTAGTTACTACTGGTACTAACTCACTCCTTCTGGAGCAAGCTACCTTTCACAAAAACCAGCCAGCCACCACCGAAACTCTGTCCATCTTTCCTATGGAAAGGAATTTTGCTTCTGAAACACCTCTTGACTGATTCATAGATTCTTCTAAGAAATCCTTAAGCCTGTTCCTTGGCATGCTTTATTACTGCTGCCTCCCTTCACAAAGACAAATTGCTGAAGAATATTCTSCATCTGGTTTTAGAGCCAGTACAATTAGAGCAGATCTTACTGGCAACAGCTATGGATTGCTGGACTGACATCCAACAGAAGTGCTCTGAGTTAAAACAATTGCTGTAAGCACACCTTTAGCTGCCAACAGACTTTGCCTTATAGAATCCATCAAAATTCAATGCCTAATGCTCTATGATTTCACTACCATGCACATCTCCATAAAACACTGCTCTCTGAATTTCAGCTCTAGAAAATTTTTGAGTAGTCACATCCATTAAAAAAGATTCCTGTAAAAATATGTGTTGGATACAAGTAGACCTAATTCTTCAGTAGCAAGTTGGAGTAAGACTCTCAAAGGGCCACTGGCTACATTCTTRTGAAAGATCTTGGATATGAAAAGGTCTTTCTTCTTTGGAATATTGCACTCGCTAACTCAGTGTTTCCAGAAAAAAAAAGATGAAATTTGKAGGTCCTGATTCACAAATATAGTTTGTGAAATTCTCCAATTTCCAGACATATCCACTAAGCAATAAGCAGTATGTACTCAGAGCAGTAATTACAGCAGGGCAGCAGCTGACAACTTCCATGTTTATTGGCCAGAACATCAACATAGCTACTCACTTATACAAACCAACAGAAGTAAACTTCATGTGTAGMTGTCAACCCATTGGTCAACAGTTCTAGAAAATGTTTTGATTTACCTGAGGTTTCACAAAGAAGACTGTAGAATTACATACAGTACATTTGGCATATACGTATCAAAATTCTTGTTGGAGAAATAAATTACAAACCATGGTACAAAACCACTCCAAGCCAACCTTTGTTCAACAAGAACATGTATGTGAGTTTTACAGTTTTATTTTTTTGTATTGCTCTTACAGTAAGCAAACTATTTAGTTTATACAAAATAAACCTGTAGTTTTATATAGTTAAAAAAATCATCTTTGGCTAAACAAAGCTCTTCCTATTTTTATACATATATTTATATATATACAAACATCAGATATTTTACATGACCATGTAGGAACCTGTACACATAGATACAATAGAGAGAACATTAACCAAGTTTCACACTTTACAAAACAGGAATCCAAGTTAGACTCAAAACAGTCAAACCCTGCCCCCCATCACCTATACAGATATGAAAGTAAGTAAACACAGATAAGGAATAAACAACTTGTAATAAAATACTACCTGCTTTTTTGACAGAGAGAGGAAGCACTGAAGTGGAGAGAAGTGACTTCCCTCAGTGCCTTCAGTACTCTGCACATGTTRATCTTTAAGGATATGGTTAGAAGAGTACTTTCAGTACACGGAGTCTGACTCTTCCACAAACGTGAACACTTCTCTGCAAACTGACTATTCTGAAAACAGTTTCAGTTAGATTTAAATCTTCAATAAATTAACAATTGTCACAGATGTTTGTTAAGAACAAGCATGGGTTGGTACATCAATCCCCCACTGAAATCACCAGGCACTGCCAGCGTAGCATGGAAGGTGAGATTTGATCATCAGAAGCAAACGTTTCAGAAGCAAGCACGTAAGATGGAAGACTGTCAGAACTGACATCATCACCTCTCAAGTCACTCCTTCCAGCAGTTGCCRGAGCACTGCCTGACACAAGGACAATGCACTGTTTGGCAGCACGACAATCCATTCCGCAGGTCACATGTACAAAACTCCAAAGGGGTCAGTGACAACATCACTGACAAATTATCTGMTGGTTTATTAGAAAGAGAAATCTGTTCCATTAGTTGGAGAAGGAACAAAAAAACCATGCTGACATTGAAGAAATGGCCACTGGACTCTGAAAAAGAGCCAATTCAATCCAAGTTGAAAGGCAATGCACTTAGGTGGGGCTGTTAAATGAAGTCTAACTGTACTCAGCAGATGCTCAGAATGAATAAAGACTACAGCAATTCTGAYCCTCCATAAAGAATAAAACTTCAAAAATCAACAAACTCATTAAACGAAAACCCTTGCAACTTCCAGGAATGTTTCTCAGGGAGAAGAAAAAAAAATTTTTAGAAATTTTGGATAAAACAGCAATATGTATGAGATATGTGTGTGTGCATGTGTGTATATATATATATATATATATATATATACACACACACACACACATACACTTTAGGTATGTTCTAGTAAAACTGGAAACAGTTATAACAGATTCTTTAAAATAGAACATAATGAATTTCTAATGCACTAAACAATTTGTAAAGATAGATGCAATTGCTGTCAAAACATGCCAACTTGACAAGCTTTTGAAAACTGCTTGTTTTTACAGAAAAGTTTTGCTTCTGGTTATGACTACAAAGCCACATTTTATGAAACTGTAAATGTCTGTTTCTAAATGAATTTTTAAAAGAAAATCAGTTTTCAATTTTTAATTTTTTTTTAACAGAATGTTTATTATGTTGAAGACCTGAATATTAAGTACCTTTTCCAGATGTAATTTGGAACAGGGAAACACAATGGCCTTTGCAGAGTGGCATTCATGTAAAGTGACATTTATGCTATCCTGCACACTGACTGTTCTGAAAACAAAGTCTGTTGGAATTAAATCTCCAGTAAGTAAACAATAGTCACAAATGTTTGTTAAGAACAAGTTGCAAGATCCAMCTATTCCTGAGCAACAGAATTCAATTACTAGATAAGCAATGTTTGGAATCATTGCTGTCATTGCCCTGCCTTATTTTAAAAGAAAAAGGCCTCACTTCTTAAAATATGTTACAAGGTCACCAAGATGACATAATCCTGGAAAATGACAGGTATCTACCAACARTTCCAAAGCACGGTTCCAAAGCACTTTTTAAGATCACAGTTTGACATCAGCAGACGCAGAATTTCTGGCAAGTGAAGCAAGAGCCACCACTCCCGCTCAACTRCTCACCCTTGTCTCTGCTCAAAGAACACCTTTAACTAATAGGAGATGTCATCCCCTYGAAATGACACTGCCCCATTTGCAGTGTCAAAGCCCTTTCTTTCCTAGCCACTTTCTTTGTGAGGTTCCCTCTGTGTTATTGTTGAACTTCAGAGGAATCGCAGACACATAAATTACTAACAGTGCATTGGGTTTACCAAASTAAGAACTCTGACTTGGATATTTCCCCGTAATCCCAACATGTGAATGCACTGGCTCTAGTCCATCCCTCCAGGTAACAGCTAAGCCCTGGAACCATGAAGCAACTGGTGTAAGTCTACTTGCACTTGGATTTCTTGAACAGCTTCATTAATTGCTTGAATCTTTCGGAAACCTAATGGAAGACARAAAAAAAAAAAAAAGAAAAAGACACATCATTAAGATCTCAGATTTCCATATCTACCAAGAAAAATAGATCTGACGTCATCAACTTTTCTTTAAGAAAAAAATTTTCTTCCAAGAAATCTTAGCAGGAGGATTTTAGGAGCACCATTACCAGACTAACTAGATCTAGGAAACTTTCCAATACCTTTCATATGTGAAATAGCTTCCAGGTTAATCCAAGAGAGCTAGAGCCAACTACTGGTTTAACATAGGTTTCCCTACAAGAAGGRGGAAAAAAATGAAGGCTTCGAAGCCAATTAGCCTTGAATTTGCCAGGCATAACCATGAGTAAGATRCAAATGTAAAGATAAAAGCTTATTTTGTACTGCACAAAAAGCATTGTTTATTGGTCATTTTTTACCCTCTAGTACAATTGTTGCTTCAGGTATTTTTGGCTCATCGTGGAGTAATCTGCCTGCCAGGGCCTTTACATAGCTGCTCTGCAGATGAGAGCAAAWAATCTTTTTGCTGAACATAGCTACAGCTGACATAGTGACCTCATTCAGCTCTAAGTTGGTATTTCTTACTCCTATACATATATTGCTATAGCACACTGATGACCCACCAAACTAACKGGGGAGAGAGGCAACACTGTTTTATTCAACCAGCCACCCCAACAGCTCCTAAACACCACAAAGATCCTTCAACCATACAATACAACATCCTAAAAGCCAAATCCCAATCATGCAGGATTCCCTAATAGATCAAACGTGTTTCTCCCTTTCTAGATTAGCAGGACACAGAGTAAGAGAGCTATTCAACTCAAGCATAAGTTATATGATAAACCTCTGGGAATATTCTGCATTAACATCTGTGCCTTTTGCAACTTTTTAATTAAAAAAAGAAAAAAA